AAATATAGGCTATTAAGAGCGTAAATTTCTAATATAAAACTATTAAGGAATAATTTACTAATATTTTTATAAAGGTTCTACTCCAAAATATCTTTAAATAGTATTATTAAGCTTTAGAGTTATTAGAGCCTTTTACCCTATTATTACTATTAAAAACCTATTAATACTTTTTTAATATTTAACCGCTTATTTCCCCATATATATTTACTAGACTTTTTATACCCGATAGTTAGTTATTATACTACTTCTTCTACCTTTCGTTACTTCTATACTAGGTTAATCCTTTATTTATAGATCCTACTCCCCCCAATTAAATATATATTTATATCGACAGTTTAACTTGCGATTTTCTAATTTCTACGATATTCCCTAATATAAGGAATTTTAAAAATCGACTTACAACCATTTCAACACCTTCTAACCCTCGTACAGCTTTATAAATATATTCATTTTGACCGTTATATTAAGACGAGTCGATTAAAATTGCTTATATAGTCTCATAACCTCTATATTAAAAGTTCTTATATTTTTTATTTTTTACTTACTTTTTCCTCTTCGTTTTCAAAATTTATTATACTTGATATTATATTACCGTCCTTATATCAACCCTTATAGCGGTAATCCTTTTTCTTATTAGGTTTCATTAGTATTAACCATATTAGGCGAAAGAAAGACACTTGTAAATAACTTTACCTTTACCGTTTTTAGCCCTTTTTATTTATTTTCTTATTATAGGGCAATTCATATTTAGATCGAGGGGGAGTATTGAAACTATTATTATATTTTAATATTCTTGGTATAGGGTAGATACAATCTATATATATTTACCTTATATATAAATTAGACTTCGTCTCCCTTCTTTAGATTTCTCTTTCTCTCTCTTTAATTAATTAAGACATTTACTACTACTTTCGTCGTCTTTCAGATTTATATGTGATCACCTCCTCCGTATAGTTCAATATAATAGGCCTTTTCAGGGAGGTAAGAAGCGTCTACTAGCTTAGGGTATGCTGAATTTAGATTGTTCAAGGTGTTTTCACCTTACCCAACCGTATATTACCTACGTGAAGACCTCTAAGCTCAAATAATAATTATTCACCCTAGTTTCAAGTCCTTGCAAGCCACTATTTCAACCACATTTGAGTAAACCAAATGAAATTGAGTATAATGATACTACCAAACTACCGCAACGGAAATATAGGGAGCGTAATAGGCTCTATAGAATATTACAGGCCTTATTATATATCCTAGGCTACTATATAAAACAAGGCATATTGGACTTACAAGGTATATTGAATCTATAGGGCTTGTTAGTCTAAGGGAAGCTCCTAATTAACTAGAAATCTAATATTATAGGGCTAGAGCCTAGGGGTTAACCTTGGCTGATGCTAAGCCGTATCCTACATTATCGATAGGGAGCCTGCCTTATCAATAGGGAGCCTACCTTATCGATAAGGATGCGAGCCTTCTAGTTAGCCAAACTCGTATAACTACCTAGCCCGTACGCTTTAAGCGATCTATATAAAACCTTCTCTTAATTGCACCCTTCTAATATAATCCTTCCTTTTCTTCTTTATTAAATATAGTATTTTAACCATACGATTATACGTTATATTTTATTCGTATAGACCTGTTACATTATATTTGACCCTCTTTTTAAATTAGTACTATTACCCTTCTCTCGTAAGTACGCCCGAAGAGTCTCTCTCCCCTTTATTATTTCCGTCTCTTCTAGTAATAAATCTTTTTATTTATATTGTTCAATCCCTCTCGTTCGCTTATAATTAATCTTAATTATAGCTACTGTCCGGACTTCCGTCCCTCTCGATAATAGTATTAACTTTCCTTACGATTCCTTAATTTTAAGATCCCTACAAACGTTTATAGTAACTTACGGCCGCCTTCTAAACGTTAATAACTAAAATTATTTTGAGACCCGCCGCTCCGAAATTGGTATTCCCCTAATTTAATAAGTTCTTAGGTAATAAAGAAGATTTCGAAACCTAGGTTTTAAGTACGTAAGTAAAGTTTTATATAGATGGATTAGCTATCGGCGATTTAGAAGTGTAATTTTACTATTTATTCTCTTACTTTTCGCCTGCTATTGAATATTTTAATAGTAATATTTTTCTTTTGGCTTCTGCCTTTATTAGGTATATTCGGTTGAAGACGTTCGAGATATTGAGTTAGCGTTGCTAGGAAAGCTTTGAATTCTATTTAAATAAAGAGATAGAGGAGGAGAGAGGGTGATAATAATAGTAGCTCTAGTTTAAGAGTACGCTAATTATACTAAATAAAATTAATTTATTATAATTTGGTAGGGGTTTAAGTAATTATAATAATAATAGTTATAAAAAGGAAGAATATTCGGATTAAATAAAACTAGTATTAGCGGCCCTAATAAAACTACAGTTAAGAGAGCGCCTTATATTTAAAAGGAGGGGTCCTTAATATTTTGTCCGGACTAATCCCGTTAATAATATTTCTTATTACGTAGTTGGCCTTTAAAGCTGGTACTTATTTACGATGCGATTATTAGAGGGAGTAAGTATTATATTTCGTAAGTATAAGGATTATTGAGGTCGTCCTCAGTAAGGGAAGTATATTGAAAAGATATAATTACGGTAGTAATAATAGCCAACTATTAGTAGGAGAAGTAAAGCGTTACAAAGTATTAGGTAATAGTTTTAATTCAATTATTTTCATTATGAATTATTAATATAATACAGTAAAAGAGGTTCCTTAATAGGCAAAGTCTAGAAATATCCCCTAATTTAATTTTAGTACTAAGCTATAGCGTAGCTTTGTAAGGGTAAGCGATAGGCGTATTGTTACTAATTCGGGTAGGAGGCAGGTAGTTGTATAGCGTTTATTTAGGGATTTAAATAGAAATATCTTACCTTTTCTAGTATTATTAATTTTCTCCGTTCAGATAGGCATTTGGTTGGGTGCGGTTGTAATAGATTTCGTTACTTTTGTATAATTAATTATATTTAATACTTTATACGATAGACCGCCTTTGTTTAAAGGGGAGTAGGGGGGTAATATTATAGGGTTAGAGCCTAGGGGTTAAACTTAGCTAATATTAAACCGTATCCTATATTATTGATAAGGATACGAGTCTTCTAGTTGGCCAGACCCGCATAATTGCTTGGCCCGTACGCTTTAAGCGATCTATACAAAACCTTCTTTTAACTATACCCTTTTAGTACAGTCCTTCCTTTTCCTCTTTATTAAATATAGCATTTCAACTATACGACTATACGCTATACTTTACTCGTGCAGACCCGTTACATTTAAGTTCCAATTCCTAAGCGCTAGGTCGCTAAAGCGTACCTTAGAACCGCTAATCGGGCGCGGATCTACACTAATACAAATATACAGACTAAAAATATAAATAGGAAGCAGCCCGTCACGCTTATAACTATACGTACAGTACCTACGTATATTTCATCTAGTAATTTACATTCCGTCCGAACCCCGAATCCCGACTCCAACCCCATCCCGTACCCTAATCCCGTAACTCCAATACCGCGACCCCAATCCCGCGCCCCCAATCTATATATAAACTACGCTAGCGGTTACGCTTATAAACCGCGCCCCCAATCTAACACTGCAGCTACAATTACAGCACGGACCACGCTGGCGGTTAGCTCTAGTCTCTCATAACAGTCGTACTCTGATATCAACCCCTATCCACTCCGCCGCCATACGTGGCGTAGTCTCTTTGTACCCTGTGGGTCCAAATAGTGTGACATTAGGATTGGTGGGTAGGTAAGTGTAGTGGGGATGTTATAACTATTTGGACCCGCAGGTACAAAGAGACGCAAGGGCTATACGTAGGTAGCTGAGTAAATAAGACTAGTTTGCTCCCCATATGGCTACACTACTATACGGCTGTATAGCTATACTACTATATGGCTATACGGCTATATGGCTGTACGGCTATATAGTTATACGGCTATACGGCTATACGGTTGTACACTGCACACTAAATTAAATACCTACACCTACGCACAATCGCATTATTAATATATAATTAAAGCTATTATCATAATCGTATATAAAGAATTTACTATTTATTAATTTCGTATTAATTAAACAAATATTCAATAGAAGAAAGGGAAATAAATAAAAAGAAAAATACATATTATCAAATCCTATAAATAGTTTACTTAATCGGGTAGGTATACGATATACGTCAACTTGTAAAACCTATACGATTAATAGAATTATTATTAATAATATAAACACATATAATTAAAAATATATCTAATTGAATAGTGCGGGTATATAACTAACCGGAGCATCTTCCCGCAATCCTGGCCTACATTCCTATCCAAAATACTAAATTAAAATAAAAGGTCACTAAATAATTATTAACTATACACACATACTCTCGGTCCGGCCGTATAATTCAAAAATCGGATCGAAAGTCCAGTATAATATTATCACCTACCTATCTTCGTATCCACCTAGTTAATACTACAATCTACATCTATTTAGAAGCATAAAGCAAAAGACTGATATAAATACGTAGAATAATATAAACATATACCAGCCTACATCGTTATCAACAATTAGAAACATATATATAGCAGAGCACTCACATTCTTTACAATTTACACGTCTCGCCGGCCTATCACAGCGGTCAAATATCACCTCAATAGATACCTCTATATATAGCTTATACTTACAATAAACAATATAAAGCACGGCTACGGTCGCTATAACTATCAATTTAAAGATATTACCAATACTATTACTATCGACCGCCGTATAACATATACATATCGAAAAATCAATACAATACATCATAATTAAACGCAAAACTCACAGACAAAATACCGGCACTAACAACTCCCTTATAAACATTTATTACATTTAGGCGGATATATCCAAGCGGACACCATCAGTTAAGGCAAATAAATCGAAATAATATCGTATTATTAAGCGAATAAATTACCGAAGGCGCTAAAATATTAATATACTAATTATCGCTAAAAAGTATATATATCCCAATCGACCCAAACAAATCCTACTCCAACTACGTAAACCATATACAAGCACACCAGGCTCACAACATTAATACCAATAATCACAAACTCGTCCTCCTCTTTTATAATTTCGAAATTCAAAAATAAGTATCGTTATTTACTACATTTAATACAACTAATAATAATAGAAACAAATCGGTTATCCTAATTCTTATAATCGATATTATATATAAATATATAATCGATACAGCCAAAACGGGTTCTTTCACTCCTAAATTTATACTAAATATAATCGCCCTACTCGAACGTATATCAGTCTTTTAATACCTTAGCGCGAATTATATATTAATACGCTATTAAATAATATAATACCGAATATATTAATACCATAGCTTAGGAAATAAGAATAATAATATATACTATATATTACATCTAGGGAATAATATCGTTATTTTAGGCCATCGATATACTATCGCGCATTATATATACTATTAAATTAATACTAATAATCAATTATAGTACCTTAATATAATTATTCCAAATAACTAATTATCAATTTATTGAAATACATATTATAGTAAATTCCCGCGAAATAAATATAAAATATTTACATCGTTTATATAGGATTTTAGCCAACAAAAAGGCTAGTTTTTTAACAATAATAATCTCAATAGCACATAGCCCGCTAGCGGTCAAAATACTTTTTAAATATATAGAATCGTATATACTTTCGAATAATATATATATACCAATGGATCTTCGATATCTATATAGGAAACAATAGTCGAGTATAAAAATAGCACCAAATAGTACCAAACTCGAGCAAATGCCCGGTACCATCACTACATTCCCACTCCATACATCACTTTCATTAATATTGCTAGTAGTAGAAGTACATACCTATTTATAAATACGAACTCATAGAACCATTAGAAGGCCCTATTTTTTATTAGCGACGGGGAGACTATCGAAGGCGCACTATACTCGTTCTAATAAGCTCGTATATACAATCCTTACTACAATACCGAAATATTTTCGAACGTTATACGCCGAGGTAATCGTTTTCGTTCATTAACTATATATATTACTACTATTTCATTCTCATTAATTTTATTAATAACGCTCAGTAACAAATAATCTATATCGTTAACTAATCCCAATCGTTAACTAGCTAGGATCTCATAAAATTCTTCGATAATCTTCTTCTATTCCCTATCCTTAATAGCGCTACAATCCTCTCGTAAAAGAACCCTATTAAATAAGGAAGGGTATTATTAGTAGAAGTCCAATATATCGCTCGTTAACTCTAAATCGTTATACTTAAATACATTCTATAGAACAAATCGTACCGCTTCCCCGAAATTAGCTTTTATTAACAACACCTTTTCGATATTAGAATAATTAATTTCGTAAACTCGAATTTTAAAATATTTACCAAACAATTAACATTCGATTGTATTCGGGGATACAATCTTTTCTCTATTCCTACATCATACATCTACAATTTTAATAGCGCCGGGAGCATATATTACGTAAGGGTACGAAAGTACATCCGGGTCGTCGGAATTAAACTAACTAGCTCGAACCAAAATCCAAATTTTGAAATCGGATTTCAAATTCAAATTCGTCGCAATACGCCAAACTCCCATCCCGCCACATATATAACCCTACTATCTATAACCATCGCATTCAAACGTACCTATAGAATTTTTCTCCAATTAATATATTAAAATTAACCAGCATAGTATACTCCTCTACAAAATGTAGGTAGTACAATATAATATAAATATTAAGACAATAGATATCCTTTATATATAACTATATCCGTTTAATCTATTTATCAGCCACTTCTTCGTTATCTACATCTACTTCCGGGGCTAAAGTTAGCATACCCGGAGCACCGGCCGGGCTTACATCTACCGGCGATATATTACCGGCACCTAAAGCCGATACCAAGGCCAACCTAATATTCAATACCGCTAATCCCCCGGATATTAACCTATATACCAATATATACAATTAATTAAATAAATAGCGTACACAATATAATATAGTATTTAATTATCGTCTATCTTTCTTTGGTACATTATACCCCATTAGCAAAGTAATACTTCTAGCCAATATAACTATTATTTCAACTACAATTTCAATTAGGTCTAAACCTTCCGCTTCTATTTTAATACAGAACCGTACACTTATATAGTTTCTATATAACTAGTATAATAATATAACTAGAATAATAATCATCTATTTAGCATACACTAATATGAAATAAATAGGTAAATACTTAATTAGCGAATATAACTTTTGCCAACCAAGCGGGAATTGCTATAACTATAATCGAATTATATATTGAGCCCTCTTAGAGGGATTAAGAATATTATCCCTAAAAAAGAAGTAAAGTAAATTAATAATACCATTATATTCCCAATAGCCCGGATCCAGCATACAACTTATAATAATATTTAATACTAGTAATAATTATATTAGTACAAAGTATAACGCTTTAATACCCTATTAGCGACTATACTACTTAGCCTCGCTTTAATTAATATCCTTTACTATAACTAGTATAAATTGCTACATCTTATTAATTTAATAATAAAACCTTCTATAAATAATAATATCGCAATTGATCTATATATTTAAATCCCGCTCCTATTCCCCGTCGGCGCCGATTAGTCCACATTTTATAAGAAATATAAAGTAGCATCAATAAAATTTAATAGCACGGAGACCTTTGAATCCAGTATTTTCAACCTACTATAGTATATCGCCGGTATAATATAGCGGAAATACATATAAACGTACATATTCTAGTCTATTTTTCCCATATATTTCGATTACTATATTTAGATCCAATTAAATTATAATTTTCAACGCTTTAATAATATCTTAAAAATTAAATCCATATGGGCCAAATAAAAGGGAGAAAATACTACTAGGCTGTACACGCTCTTTATACTATTTAGCCTGCACGTTCTTACTCTGCTTCCTACCTAGCGGTTTCAATTTTAGTAGCATTTTAAATACAATCGGTATTGCCCCTAACTACGCGTATAACGAAATAGGAATCTTCGATTTCGTAGAGGAAAGTTATTAATTTATTAATCCTATAAGAAACCTAAAGTTAGTAGGGGAAGCAATCGTCCGAACTTTATCTTCTAGGTACCTATTTACCTCGTTACCATTCACTGCCAGTTGGTAGAATCTCTACCGCGTTCTACTATTCACTAGCGACTACTATTTATTGCGACCAGATCGATTTTGAATCTAACCGAACATCCACTCGTCTTACAAATACCGCGCATAAAATCTCCCAAAACTCTACGTACAAATATTCTAAATACTAGTCGCACTCGCTTCCTCTACCCCTCTTTTACTCTTTTGTAAGCAAGTAAGCAAAAAGGCAAGCAGGTAAATAAGTAAGAAGGTAAGAAGGCAAGCACGCGTACGCACGCGCGCACCCCTCTCGACCATACTAAATAATAATACTAATAACGGGGGTAACAATAATCCTCCTCGACTATTACGGATAGTAAGTAGTGTTACTAATAAAAAGCGTAAACTTCGTCGCCGCAATGTGAGTCTATATATTATTCCTCGAGATAGTACCCTCGCGATTACGCTAATATTATCGTTATTTATTATAAGTTCGAGAGGATACTAGCGAATACCGCCTCCAAGTATAGTAAATATAGGTATTACTGGCAGCATCTGTATCCGCGCCGGCATTTATATTTATATCCGCGCCCGCGTCCGTATCCCCGTTGGGATTATGCGGACTCCAACTAGTAATAACCTAAAATCCTATACCCCCGTCCGCGCATTATATTACTAATAAGGGAGGATCTATTATAAAAGGTAGAAAAGAAAAGGCAGAGGCGATGTAAGATTATATTATATTAGTATTACATTTTACTCTATTAATATAATTATAATTAATTAAAATTATAATGCAAATATACCTTTCCTAGTTCTAGCTATTTAATTGTAAAACTATTGGAAATATAGTAGAAAATAGATATCGATTTTATTATAATTGGAAGAGGGACCCTAATAAGCTTCCTAATAAAGAATAAACTAATATAAACAATATTATCGATATTATATAGTGTAAAAGATTATATATATGATATTATAATTATTTATTGCCCTCTGTCGTCTATAACCTCTACCTAAAAATTAATACCCTAACATTTACGTTCTAGGAAATATATAATTATACTAACGAATAATTCGGAGCCTACGAATATAAATTCTTATTTAATAATATATTAAAATTCATTATAGGTTAAATTAGAAATTACCCGATAGATTTCCGTTTCTACTAGTAATATACCCTCCTAAAGGTCTTATTAGAAAATGAAAATATCGATAAAGAGGCGCCTATGTTTATATAATCTAATATTAACTATATTAAAAAGTAGGCTTATAAAAAACTTAATAAGTTACTATATATATTGCTCTTCGAATACGTCGCCCCTATTTTAAATTAGGAAAATAACTTCATAGCCGAAAAAAAGAATAAAAGACTTGGCCTTTTCTACTTTAAATTTATATATATTACAATATTATATGAAATAGCCGAAGTTTATATAAACGAACGTATAATAATAAATAGGAAAAGCTATATTAATAATCAAGGCCATAAAATGCCGTAAATTCATAATAATAATATTTAGCCAATCCTCAAAACCGCCTGCGATAAATACGGCGATAAATTTAATAAACTTACTATTTACCTAAACCTAAAGGATGTTAAAATCGATTTATTCTTTTAGAACAAGCCTACCCTTATATAAGGTAGTAATATCATTGCCGTTAACCCGACCGAATTTTAGGGAAAATATAGCACTATAAATTCGCCGCCTCCGTCGCTATCTAATAATAATAATAATTCGTTAACCTCTGATGAAGGGCGTACCGAAAGGAAAGACAATAATAATTATACCAAAAGGAACGACGACGACGATAATATCGACCCGTTTAATACCTTTAGCCTAAAGTTAGCCGAAGCTATTATATTTAGCTCAATAAAGAGGAAACTACCATCCCCGACCAATAGTATTAATAAAATACTAAAAACGGCCGAATTACGCGCGCCCGTATTACCGTCTCCCAACTAGGAATATAAAAGATTTATTATAAAT